TGTGCACCTTTATAGAATGATGACGGGGGGTGGGGGGGTGTTGTGATCATTCCAGAAGGTGCTAAAGCTGTAAGGGCATTTCTCCAGAACATCGCAGTAGCTTTTCCTTCTACCTGATGGTGAGTCACGGCAGCATTGTGCAACTTACCACAGTTCTGCTGAACACCTGTGAGGAGTGAAGGGCTGTTATTAGTTTTGCCTTCAGGAACCACGGAGGTGCCCTTGACATGCTCGCTGTGCTGATATGTACGACGACGTTCAACTCAAGCTGAGTCAGGACGAAAGGTGGCGCATTCCTAGTCTACATTTGGAAGGAGAGCGGAGCTTGGGATCGAAGGACCTCGGTAAACTACAAGAAGCTACTTGTGATCCTCGGATGGTAAGCTGTTTCTCTCTCCTTCTCTCCCTAGAAGAACAACCCTCACTTTTCCCCCCCCAAAGCAATTTTTTTTCTTTTCATTTTTATAAGTTTGGTCACTGTGATGACTATTCTGGGTTGTCAACGTGACTGCACCTGGAATTAATTAAACCTCAAGTGACTGGGTACAGCTGGAAGGAATTTTTCTTAATTAAATGATTTGAAGTGGGAAGACACACCTTTAATCTGGGCCACATCTTCTGCTGGAAGCCTCTATAAAGGATGTAGAAGGAGGAAGCTCTTTGCCTGCTGGCCTCACTCTCAATCCACTGGCACTAGAGCTTACTTCTTTGGGATTCTGGCCGAAGAAGACCAGCCGAAATAAATCCAGTCTCGTGAACTGAATAAACACTGGATTCCGCCCCCCCCCCCTCTCTCTCTCTCTCTCTCTCTCTCTCTCTCTCTCTCTCTCTCTCTCTCCATATATATATTCAAACACACACACACACACACACACACACACACACACACACACACTGATGGATAGATGACACAGAAGATATAATCTATCTATCCATCCATCAGTTCTGTTCCTCTAGACTCTAGAGTCTACAGAACCCTGAATAATAAAGTTACCAATCTTTTCTCCAACCTCCTAATACTGATGACCTGTATAAATCACTTCTGACCCATAGTTCAAGGGCATCTCTCTGACGTCCCAAAGGGTCTTTACACTTTGTACCATTAACATTGCTCTAACTGAAGTCGTTTTCTATGACCTACCAACCTACCCCGTTTCTCTTCTTCCAGACAGTCAATGTCATTGCTCCTCTATTCCTACCATTCATTTCTGGCCCTATCATTGGCTCCATCTCTACTCTTTTCGACTCTATGCCCTTTCTTAAGACTCAGGGCTGTTGACTTTGTTCATTATTGTCTAACAATAATGACCATAGCGGTTTCTGGTTTGTGTTGAACATGTACGATGTGTTAGTCATGGTGCAGGCCTTTACATGTGTGATTTCATTCAGTTCTTATCATACTCTTAGGGCAGAGATGCTAATACTACCTCTAGTTAAAGATGTGTAAACTACACTCATGGTATGAGAGAAAGTGTGACAGGCTGAGAATATAAATCAAGCTTAAAGCCAGTGTTCTGACCTACTTGGGCAAACTCAACATTTAAAAGCTTAATGTTTTTACTCTTTAAAGAAGCCTCTCCAATCCCTCCTCTTTTCTTCTCCTACACTCCCAGCAGTTGCCACCTATTGCAGGACATATTTATTATTATTTTTTATTTATATATTGGTCCTTTATTAGTTCCCTTAGCAAGTAGATTTCATAAGCATACTCTCAAGGTCATACGGCTACATATTAGCAGTGAATGAAGTCAGCCTGAAACAGCCTCCTAGAAACCAGTTAGAAGGCAAGGCTCTAACCAAACAACTACACAAATGTACCATAAAATCCCAAATGATAATCTCTATGGAGAAGACCTTCAGGGGCGGGTGATGCATTTGTCTCTAGGTGTGATGTGAGAACATGTAAGCCACATTGATTTTCTCATTGTTTACTTGCTTGCAGCTTGATAGGCGGTAAGTATGACATCAAGACATTAAAAGGACTATTTAGACTAGAACTTGTATTTTTAATCAGAAATCGAGGTCAGCCTTACAGAAAAGGAACTGCACAAATTTTCGACCTTACAGCATGAGTGACGGGGGAAATGATGTAAATTTTTTAATGAAAAAAAAGTAAAACTGATTTGACAAGCTTGTCTCAATGTAAACTTCTCAACTCAGGAAAGCACTTACTCAATTTGATATGAATTTGATGGTGTTTAGAACACAGCACACCTTATTCAAATTATGCAAACTGTTAACTGGGGGCCTGGGTGGACAAATGAGCACCCAGACTTCTGATTACTGGTGGTATCTTCTACCTGTCCCGTTATCATCTGTTTAGTACAAATATTTAACAAACTGTCGTTACAAAGAAAACTACAAATGAAAGGCTCAGCTATGGCATTTTAGATCTTAGCTTCATGTGAGATGCATTCACTCAGGTAGAAAATGACTGTGACATTTTAAATCAATCTTATCTTAAGTGCTTCTGACTTGATAGGCAAAAGTATAGTAAGTGCTCAAAGTGACATTTTCAAAGAAGATACTGTAACCCAATGATTGAAAAACAGTACTACTGAAATAATTAAACACAATAAAGGATTTGTTGATAGGTACAAACCTACCTAGGAGTATAAATAATATCATAAAGAGATATTAAATTACTCAGAGACATTAGAGATTACAGGTGACCTTTTTTATTTGTTAACTTATGCCATGGTTTGACTGAGTTCTTCACCATATCAAATTGGAAGTGGATTTGGTTAGTGGGATAGATGATTAAAATACATCAAAATGAACAAAGTCCACTTGCTCACCTCAAGTCTCAAGACCTTAGTGTCAGTTTACAACTCCACCCTTGCAGGTACCGCACGGGGCTTACTGGAATGACCATATCAATGCCCTTCTTAACTCAGTATGAAGATCATTTTGAGCACGCCAATCAGGTAGTGCTAATAATGTGCAGCCTGAGTTTGGTGAGGAGAGATGCTATGTGAGCATTATACTAAAGAAGTAAGAAACACTGCTTCAGGACTCACTGGAATCATGCCTCAAACTATGGACAGGATGGGACAGGGAGATTATATGTCTTGTCTGTCGTGATTTTCTCCTCTAGGAGAATAACCAGGGGGCAACACACATAACCATACCCACATTCAGTGGTAGTGTGGCTGTTGTTGACATCTGCTCAATAGCTCTGCTTTGAGTTGTGCCGCCGTTTGGATCTGGAACGTCCATCATCTCTGTAGAACATTGTTTCAGTTACACTATTTAATAATCTCAAGACAGCAGGCTTCTCACAGAAGACTTTTTCCTGACAATTATGCCTTCAAGAGACTAGAGTACCTAACGAGACCACAAATAAAATACCATAGCTGTGAGAGCTGAGCAGCCTCAAAGGCCAATTAGTCATGAAGAGACTTTGACTAACCAAGCAGGACTCTAGCTCCCCACTGCCACAGTGGAGGGGAGGAAAATACCACTAAACCAGTCTCCTTGAAGCTCCAGGATGAATAATGGAGCGGCCACTGTTTCCAAGACACAGCACATGGGCAGGAATTGTCCCTAAATGGAGAGGCTGCGATGGTGAAGAAAGACACCATGGCATCAGCCTCGCGGCCTCATTCTGAAAGTCCCCAGAGTCTGCTGCGGGTCCCAGGAAGGCTCCTAGGAAGGTGTTACATATTGCAAGACCATTGTTCTGGGCAGGGCTGATGCACTCTTGTGTCCCGATAGCTGTCTAGGCTGCATCCCACAGCTCGGCCTATGGTTCCTGTCCTTGGTCTTGCCCTCTGTGGCAGCCTCTGAACGCTGCCGGTCCGATGTCTCTCGGATGCCTACAGAATTAAATCCAAACTCGTGAGCACGCTGTACAAGACTCAGCCTGACCTGCACGTACCTCTCTTCCCAGCTGCCTCTCCCTTCTTTCCTCGGCTGTTTCCAACACACCCAGCCTCAGCCTCTGGGCCCAAGCACTGACTCATGCTTTCTCTGACATGCTTTCTTCTGGCAGCCAGAACAATTCCTTCTCCATGAAGCCATTCTGACCATCCCAGCTGGTGCCTACCCAAGCTCTCCACTTATATATGCATATTACGCGTGTCCCTTCTGCAACAGACGGCATCTTACGCACCACCCCCTCCCAGATGTCTGTATGGTAAATAAAGGCTTGTTCCTAGGGTGGGAGCAGGGAGAGGTGTTCCAGCTTCAGGAGGCAAGGCTTCATGGCAAGACTCCGGATCACTGAGGCTACGCCCTTTGAAGGGGACCCTGGAGCCCCAAACTCCCCCTCCCCCAGCTCTCTTTTGCCTACAACCATAAGATGAGTAGCTCTGCTCAGCTGATTCTCCTACATAGGCCCAAAACGACCAGGCTGAAGTTCCCTGGACTGTAACGTCTCAAACTGTCCAAGAGACAACGCAAACCTTTTCTCTCTATAAGTTGATCACCACAGGTATTTGTTTACAGTAACAGAAAACTGACCAACACACTTTAATGAGACTGTTTTGAGGCGGGGACAGGGTCACATTTGTTTGTCACCTCTGTGAGTAAATGCCGAGCACATAGCAATCAATGTTCTGGTTTTTTTGGCAAAAAAAAACAGAACCGTGTTGTATACAGTTTCACTCATTATAGACAAAGGCTGAGGAAATGAAAATTGAGACCATGGAAAAGTCAAGCCCATTACTTAAAAGAAGGGGGGAGGGAAGCCCCCGTATTTACTTAGCACTTGGTAGCAGTGATGACTCTCACTCTTATGCTTAGCCTTCATTAGGTTATTAAAAGAATTTTCAACATGATTAAAGTCAAGAAAACTTCAGTTAAATCCTCCACTGTGATCTCTTAGCATTGGCTTCCCCAGACTACACGTTAGAATCGCAGGCAACGTCTGCTGACCTGAGGCTCTGGATAAGGGGACAGGAGAAGGAAGCCCAAGCAATGCCCGCTACCAGTCGGCCAACCATGGCTGCTCCCATCCCGTGACCTTGAACCTACCACTCTGGAGAGAGCATGCTTACTTTGTATCTGCTTTCTGATCTGGAAGGAGTGGGGATATGTCCTTTCTTCTTAAAGGTGGTGAAGTGTTTGCACTGAGGACACGGCTTGGTGCTGGCGTCAATTCGGCCAAGTTCTGAGAAGTACTTATACTTGATGGAGTCTTCGTGGGTCAGGTTGTAGACGACAGTAGTTTCCTCCAGGAACTCGAAACACTCTGTGATCGGGCATTTGATTTCTACTTGGCCGAGCTGTACCTGGGTGAGAGGACAGAAGGAAAAGGAAAAGCCCACTGGTTATTAAGGTTCTTTGGTGCTGGTTTTTGCACACAGCATTAAATTATCTCATGCTTTCGAGAAAAGGTTATCGGCGTTCTTTCGAGATAGCGTAACGAACGCTAGTCATTTTGAAACCTACATTGAGTACCCAAAACTAATCATGACCTGTAGGATGCTTAAGTGCTCGCTGAGAACGGTGTTTGTCACAGGGCTCATTAAAGAAGCAAATGACCATTCTACTCTTTTCGAAACTGCAGGGGGAGAGAACAGGCAGGCAGAGGGCCAGCTATAAGTCGTGCGCATGACTCAGCATCCGGGACCTGCCAACCAAAGGCGTTTCGGAGATTTCTGCCCCACTGTGCTGTTTCAGCCCTATACTTTGGGCACATCTTTACAGAGAGAAATTTTATGAAGCGTTTATGTTTAATAGCTATTAGTTTATAAAAATAATGACCCCCAAATGAATGTTTTCTTTGGCCCTTCCCTGACAAGCACATAAATAGCGCTGATGTTATCACAAACTTAGAAGTCAGGAGGAAAGGAAAAACCAGAAAAGCCTGGGTTGCTGAGATGGCTCAGCAGGTGTAGGTGCTTGCCACTGAACCAAACCGTGTGAATTCGATCCCCAAGACCCAGACAGTAGAAGAGGACCAACTCCCAAAAGTTGTCCTCTGACTCCATATGCACACTTTGGCACAAGCAAATCGCCTGGCCTACACAAACACCAAGTGAATAAAGATAAAACGGCCGAAACCACATTGGTCATATCATGACATTGTAAGTACAATGGTAAAATCTGGTTGTCGCTATGAGCACACTTATCAACAAATGAATATTATGGAGATGTTTAAAAAAATAAACCGGCTTGTGATACAATTTATACAATTTTAATGTAAAATTATAGAGTAATTTATCCTTGACCAGTATACTAATATAAGGGCATTTACTTAAAGCCAGCCAAACCTCTCCTACGTTATTACCAGGTTGGCTCATGGCTTGTCCTGGCATTACCATGTCTTCCCCAGTCTCCTCCCACCTTCAACTTCTCACCTACTTTCTCTCAAGTTTGTGTGTGATGAACAGCAAAGGCGAGAGCGAGTGTGTGTTTGAGATGTTTATTTTTAGCTGTTCTTTTCGGCCATGTTTTTTTTCTCTTCTCCAGACCATGTGGCTTTCTCCTATTTCTGCCTTTGTCTTCCTGCCTTCTTCTCTCTCGTGGGTGGGTGTGAGGAAGTAGCGTGTCGAAATCAGAGAGTTGTGTTTGTCGGGTGAGTTTCCAGTGCCACCCTTTGGCACAGCGTGGGGTTTGGGGCAAAGGAGATTATAGTGATGTGGCTAGAGTCACCCGTCACTACTTTGGAAAACCTCCCAGTTCCCCTTTATCCAAAGTCTGTTTTCTTCATCTCTTAAAAACGAGTTGTGTTAGAAGTTCTTGTTTTAATCATTTTCTGTCACGTTTATTGTGAGTGGCATCTAGTACCCATTCCAAATGTGAACGGTAACATCCTTCTCTCCCAATCTAGCTCTGTGGTCTTCTGGATAAATTCATGTTGTAAGGTCTCTGGGGTGAACTAGACTTTCAGACGGTTCAATTTATAGCCCAGGCTGGCCTCCAACTGAGTCTTCCCTGCTCAGCCACCTGAGTGCTGGGTGTGCCTCTACACCCCGCTTTCCAACTATGTTTTATAATAAATTATTTTAAGTTACACCTCGGGAAAGAAGTCCTTATAAGCTTTTCGTAGAGACAAAAATACCCATGGAATAGTAAGAGTTTGGGTTTATGAAGTTTGCAACAAATATTTTAAAATGATAAGATTTCCCTTCTTTTAGCATTCTGGATATATCTGTGAAGCTCCGCTCAGAACAGGGCACCGAGTTAAGTGCTGAAGCTTGGCAGGTGCCTGCTAGGAATGAAGCAGGCACAGTTGGGACCCAGAGTGATGATGGTGTCCGCCTGATATGGTGGTGCATGGTGTCAAAAAACGCTGGGGGAAGCCTGGTCACTTCAGACCCATGAGGGTTGGTGCATGGTGTCACCAAAAGCTGGGGGAAGCCTGGTCACTCCAGACCTGAGAGGGTCAGCCTAAGTGTCTTAGACTGAATAAAGCTGGGTGAGAGCTTACGATCAACGGGACTTAGCCAATGAGGCTGAAGCTGCTCCAAGTAGCCGAAAGAACTAACAGATGAAAGGCTTGGAGGCAAATGCCGAGCTCTCTAGGGCAGGGGTGCTGTGTTCTGTTCACCCCTACAGTATTGACTTACACAGGAAACATTCATGTGAACTTAAGATTACACCCTTAAAAGGGGGTTAAAAAAATAAGACTGGACCCCAAAGTATGAATACAGAAGAGGCTGTAAGCATGAACTTGGATCGAAGCACAAGGGCAGGCAGGTCATTACGATCTCTGAGGCCCCTGGACTTTTTTCCCTATAAAAACAGACAAGTACTGTTCTTAGCACATGAAGGCACAGTTTCTCTACATTATTGGGGGAGCAGCCCAGTTTTGTGCTTAAGGGCCCAGGCTACCTGTTCCCAGCTTGATGTTTGAATTAATCTTCCTCTGCTTTTGTAGTTCTTATTTTATCCATATAAGTGGTAGTAATGGATACAGCATTTTTATAGTTATCTGGGAACAGTCAGGTCTTATGGAATGCCATGCAGTTTGGAGAGTAGAACCATTCCAGACATCCCAAGGACGAGGCTATCTTGTTACTCTTGGAGCAGAGGGTGTTTACTACCTGACCACACTGGGATGCCATCCAGCATCCAGCCAGGCACCTGCTCTTCTATTTCAGTGGTTCTTGGCTCTTTCTGCAAACCTATTCCGTTTCCATGGACACCTCATTTCATGTAGTTTCCATACTCTCTATTCTTTCTCAAAGTTCTGAAATCCTTACCCCACAACACTGAGCCAGTGACCTCACACAGGATTTAACTGATCACAGGGAGACATACTGTACATTCTACCCAATCATCCGCTAGCAATTCCATTGGTCTAAATCTCCATCTGGCCCTCTCTCTTCTGGCTTCCTTTGATATACGACATAATTAACTTCTAGAACAACTGCACAAAAGACCCTGGAAAAGTCTTTTGAGGGTTTAAGTTTCCTGGCCTACTCTAGACCCACACGTTCAGAATTTGAATTTTTTCCAGGAAGCCAATAATTGGCAGTTGGAACAATGACTCAAACCTTTCAATTACTCATACTTCCTCCTAAGAACAACACCCCCTTTCCATGCACAGTGTGACTAATGACTTATCTGACTCTTGGCAGTTAGGTGCAGATCGTTTTCAGGGTGGTTTTCTCAAAAGATGATTAGACAAGCATCTTGAGTACGCAATGCATACGCATTTATTTATTCAGCAATATATAGTCTATTAATTGAGGGTACATTTAGAAAAAGCCATTTAACACTAAAGAAGGAAAAATGGTCCTACAAGCAAGAGTTGTTAAGCATTAAGTCTTTCTGGGTGGTACATGGTACAACAGCATATCCTACAATTAGTCACTTGGAGGATTAGAGCAAACGGTGGGCTTCATAGCGGAGGTACCATGAAGGACGCCTAGGGAGACAGAAGGGGATGGCTATGCTAGGCTTGCTGGAAGAAACGAAGAAAAAAAATGCAGATTACAATCTTTGCTGTGATGGAGAAGTGGCACTTTCCATTGGGCCTGAAGGGCTGGAATACAGAGAAACTTTCTCCAGGCAAAAGAACCAAGGAACAGATGGGAGGGACCTGGTGTGTCTATGTTCAGAACACAGGCCTGAGGATAAAGTTTACTGAGCCAAGGACAGAAATATGTGGGATGAAGCTGGAGTGAGATATGACCATATAGGCCTTGCTGATCATATTAAGAATTCTGGATTAGATTAAATTCATTACGAGTCATTTCCAGGTTTTAAAAGGAGTAATTTGTCAAACTAAAAACAAACAAACAAGAAAAAAACACAACCCAAACACTCAAGGTCTTCTAGGAGAATGTACCATACAGGAGCCAAAGTGCTGGCTAAGAAAACAGCAGCCCTCGGCTGAAACCTGGCTCCACCAGATGCCCAGGGAGCAGGCAGCTGGTGACTGAACTTGGGTAACTCGGGGGCAGCCCGTATGAATTTTGGAAGTGAGACCAATGGGGACTTTTTTAAGTTGACAAAAATGATCTGTGTTTATGCCACACAACACGATGCTTTGAAATATAAATAAACTATGGATTGGCTACATCTGGCTCCAACATTTATTATTTTGGAGTGGGGACATTAAAATCCTATTTTCTTAGCAACCTTCAAGCTTATCATTCTTAACCGTCATCACCATACTGGACAACAGTTTCCTTGAATTCATCCCTTCTAACTGAAATTCTGTATCCTTTGGCCAGCATTTGCCCAGTAGCCCGGCTATCTTTCCCACCACTGTTGCCAGCCAGCTCTGGATAATTACAGCTATTTCAGCTTCTCTGAGCTCTTCCTTTGCAGGTTCTAAATTTTCAGACTAAATCATTTGCATTTTTCTTTCTGTCTGCCTCCTTCACTCAACATGTCACTCAACGTGTGTAATGCTGTCACAGATGACAAGACTTTTTAAGGAATGAATAGTACTCCAATGTGTGGGTATGTAGATTTATAAATAAAGCAGTGGTTCTCAACCTGGAGGTCGTGACCCCTTTGGCAAATCTCTATCTCTAAAAGAAATAATAATTTCTATTATGATTCATACCAGTAGCAGAATTGCAGCTATCAATTTTATGGTTGCAGCGAAAATCATTTTATGGTTAGGGTCACCATACCACAAGGAACTGTGTGGTGATCTTTTATTTGTGCGTTAATAAATAAAGCTTTCCCCGGAGGTCAGGAGGAAAGGCCAGCCACTTTAAGTAAACAAAGAAGTCAGGCAGCACACACGCTCTTAATCCCTTAGCAGGTAGGATCTCTGTGTGTTCAAGGCCACACTAAGGAACAGAGCCAAGTGTGATGACACACG